TTGTTGACGAGACCGTTGCTGCAGGTGCCATTCTTGTTTGTGGTGGTAAACCCAGCAGTAGGTTTTTTCCGCCGACCATCATTACGAACGTCACGCCCACGATGCCAATTGCGAAGGAAGAGGTATTTGGGCCCGTACTTGTCGTGATGAAGTTTAGCACAGACGAAGAAGCGGTGGAAATAGTGAATGCGTGTGAATATGGTCTTGGTTCTTGTGTCTTTTCAAAAGACGTCAGTCGCGCCAAACGGATTACGGCCAAATTGAGGACAGGGATGACAAACGTAAACGATTTTTGCATTAACTACCTCTGCCAGTCGTTGCCGTTCGGTGGAGTGGGGATCAGCGGGTTTGATCGATTTGCCGGCGTGGAAGGTCTCCGTGGGAACTGCATCGTTAGGGCCTCAACGACTGACCGCATCCCCGGTGTGAAGACGACCATACCGCCCATTCTCCAGTACCCAATCACAGATGCTGCCTTTTCCTTCATGGGGTCCCTATCGCAAGTTATCTTCGGACGGATGTTGTATTCCATGAAAGGCATCATTAAACTCCTTACCATTAAATCTGAAAAATCGAAGAAAAACTAGCGCAATGCATACCAGCCGATGTATGCATGGGTGTGAATGAATATATACATGCATATGGGGGTATATATGCATAAGTGAGAGGGAGAAAGGGAAAAGTGGGGAAGGGAGAAGGGCAGGAAGGAAGCGGGGGAATACGAAGAAGACCAAAGCTGGTAAAAGCGCTGTAATAAACCACGAGGCGCATAAATTCTATAGACATTCAAATCCATTAACAGATGCATGTTAATAGGGGGGGGGGGGAAGAAGGAAGGGCGAGGGCGGGGAATTCGTGGTGGTATTTTACTTGTATTGATTTAATTTATGTATTTTGTTTTTGGTTGTTGGATTTTGGAAAATATGATGCTTCTGGTTCTCAATTTGCGTGTGTGTGTGTGTGTGTGTATTCCCGTCTTTTGGGTGGTATGAAAGCTGACTGAATAATTTTTGAACGAAGAAATCTTCTATTCTTCATTTTGATGGGGGTTTTTACCCTAGTGTGAGAGAAGCCAATGTCTATCTGCCCAGGGCTTTGTGGGGAGCTGGCTGTGACGCCATTCCGTGTTTTTTTAGGAACCCTCCCCACACTTGCACTTGAGGAGCGCTTTTTACGACAGCTGCAGCCGGTGTATGCATGGTACAGCACCCGTAAACGCGTCAAGGAGCAGGCAAATGAGTTTATTGAAATTGATTTAGCCTCATGTGATTTGGAACTACTTCTGCGCTACTCGCATGTGTACTACGTGAGACGTCAGCTGTTTGAAGAGGCAATTGACAAGCAGCTTACACTTTTGGATACAGGCAAGGCTCCAAAGATGACAGACCCAGCGCTGCTACAGTGTCTGCATGCCTGTAATACAGATATTGGTGAACGCTTGCAGTATGAGGTGGGGCAGCTGCAGGTAGCAAAGAAGGCAGCGTGTGTTCCATGCAGACGCGAGTTGGATCCCAATGCCCCACTTGAATTTTACGACTACACGTGTATGATGCGGTTGGTGGAAGAAGATGTGTGTGGGGTTGAGGATGCTGAGATGAAAGGACGGGCTTATCTTCCGCGCAACCTTGTCGAGTCGAAAGTTAAATACCTCACAGAGAAATTGCTTGGATCCGATGCCAAGGGCACCTTGGAGAAGAGGGAGATAAAACTTTTTAACCGCATGATTCCACCAGACTACAACAAAGTTGGATCTGTTGAGAAATTACGACCGTGTGATGTGACGGCATTTTTTCGTTTTTATGGTGAGCGCATCAACAAGGCGGGTACGGAGAATCATTTTAAGCGAGCCCTATGGGGTCATGTGTACCGTAAGTTTGCGACGCACCCCTCCTTTCTACGTGGTATTTCCATGTACTGGGCACGGCACAGCGGGTTAGACACCTCTAGTAACGCAACCATCATGCCAGAGGAAATTGCCGCAGCTGTTTGTAAACAACAGACCCTTTTTTCTGCCATTAGGTTTCGGTCACAGTACATGTATGCGTCTCCTGATTTGGCACGTCAGCTGTGGAGAAGAGATGTGGTTATTCCACTTATGCGCCTATTTCCTTTGATGGGCGCGCCCGCCGCAGAGGATCTTGCTGCTAGTGTTCTCGTGGATGCTTTCTGGGCACGACTGTCCGTGGGTGAGGAAGAAAATCTTCTTAACGACTCTATTATCCGTTCAGTTCGTCAGTTTGTAGACGAGATGAGCAATATGTACGAAGCCGGTACGGAAGCGACGCTGAAGCGCGTGGAAGAGGGCTGTAAATTGGCGGTACCGCAGCTGACAGCGGAGGAGGTGCAGCTGATGAGTCCAAAGAACGAAGATAAGGCCATAGAAGAGTCGACCGCCTAACAATTTGAAGTTGAGGCAGAATTCTGAGGAGTGGGAGTGGCCCCTGTTAATTGGAGGGGTATAAATGCATATGTGTGTGCGGATGTTATTTGCAATGACTCGCATGATCTCAAAGAGGAAAAGGAATAAAGGCAGCGAAGAGGTATTTGACCTGTGGCTACGGGAAACGGCATGGGAAAGAATCCGACGAGAAAAAAAAAAGGTCTGAAGATTAGAATTAAAAAACTATTAATGAATAAATAACAATCCCTGTTTCTTTGTAATTTTGGCTCTGTTTATTTATTATTATTATTATTATTTTATTTTTGCTTGGCAACGCGTTTGAGAGATTGCATGGGAAGGGGGGGACTTGCGAGGCTGTTGGCCACGGAGGTGATTGGCGGCGATGTCAATGCCTGCTGTGGCTTGCTGCGTCGAATATTTAGTGAGACCGTGGAGGAATATGTCATCCATGCACTAGAACGAAGTGGACAAGGTCTTGTTAGTGATGTTCTAACTTTGGGGAAGGTTAGTTTGGCCGATGACGCGTCTCTTGTGCGTCCGGGTTCTGTAGCGATTCTTTGTCATGCTTCGCAGCGTCTGGGTGACTGGCAGAGTGCTCTTTACTTTGCTGAATTCCTGCCGAGCCCGCCATCCTCATTGTTTATTTCTTCCCTGTTGTCCCCGGGAAACTACCCTGCGATTCTCCGCCGCTGCGAAGAGAAGGGCTGGTCGTTGGATGTCCCCCATGCTACTCAGGTACTTGCCGAGAAGCATGGGAGCTGGACATCCGCCTTGGCGGTGGCAGAAGCGATGGAGCGGCAACTTCACATGGGTGAGTGGTATTCGCTGGGGGTTTTGATTCCACACCTTTCGAAAAGTGGAGCGTGGGAAAAGGCTGTGGCGTTGTTTGTTGCTGGAATAGCACAAGGGTCGTTGGTGGACCCAGGGTTTGTGGGGAATCTTGTGTATCGAACAGCGCAGCTGAAGCAGTGGCGGATGTGCCTCTACATGTTGTCGGCGATTGAAAAAACAAAAGAGGCGGCACACATTTTTTCTTCTGATGTGAACTTTTTTAAAGATGTCATGTCCATTTCTCCGAGCTGGGAGTCATCGCTTTTGGTGTTTAATGCGGCAGTTGCTGCAGGCGTTAAGCCGGACAAGTTCATGGTGGGGCTTTTGTTGGGCCAATGCGAGGAGTCCAATGCATGGTCAGTGGCAACACAAGTGTATGACATTGCCCAGACAGAGGGATTTGTGTCCAACATTGCTGGAGACTCGTATCAAACTCTTGTTCGCTCATTTCATGCAGTTAAACAGTGGGAAAAGGCGTTAACTGCACTGTCTTGGATGGCCAAAGCCGATGAAGCGTCTGCGGCAACGGGAATGGAGGAACTCCTGGAATTGTGTGAGCAGTCAGGTCAGTGGGAAGCGGCGGTGCGTATTGGGGGTATGCTTCTGGAGAAAAATTCATATCTTCCTGTTCGCACACGTCTTTCCCTCTTGTTTGCCTCCGCCAAAGGGGCGATGTGGGATGTCGCGGTAAGAATACTGCAGGATTCGTTTGCCGATGCCAATCAACCTCCACATCCCCTTTGCGTTTGTGCGGCTTTACAAGCCTGCGTTGCTTCTAATCGCTGGAAGGAGGCTGTAATGCTTTTGCAGCGAGCACGTGAGGAGGAACCGCGAGTTGTGCTGCCACCGCTGGCACATCGGTTAACCATAAAGGTATGCGTGGGTTCCGGGCGTTGGTCGGAGGCCATGGCGCTCCTTGCGGATATGAATGCCTCAGGTCTGCCGAGGGACAACCACAGTCAGCGTCTAGGGGTGTGGGCTGCGGCACTATTGGGGGATTGGAAACTATCTCTAGAGCACTTGCGACACCTTCCACTGATTTGCCGCACAGCGCAGGACCGACTTGTGGTTCGCGGCGCAACCCGTGACATCAGTGCGGTGGCCAAGGCAATCGTACTAAAGTACCTTCAACAGCAGATCAGTTAGCCCGCATTGGCACCATCTCGGGAACCATATTGTTGCCCAACAGCGGTAAGGTTAAATAAGAGTGGAGCGGAGGAGCTTTTATGTTCTACGTTCCTTGCCGTGTAAAAACTGAGTGTTGCCTTTTCCCTCTTATTCCTATGGAATCGTCGTGCTTCTGCAGACATTTATGCGAAACGTTTTTGCCGAGCCTTATTGATGGGCGCCTTTTCTGATTATTATTATTTTTTTTGCCCTGTGTTTTTTTTTTTTTTTTTGTGTGTGTGTGTGGTGTCCCTGGGTGATACTAACTGCTGGACTTTTGATTTGGCTTCTATGATGGCATAGCTCTCTTTTTTCTTTTTGTCTCTCTCTTTTTGTGCTGTTGTTTGACTCTTCTACTTACTTCTAATGTTGAAAGCAGGAAGATTGCCTTAATCACCTGCAAAGAACACTATTTACATTTATTCATAACTACCCATGTATAAGAAGAAAACTCAAGAGGAAAAACATGCTGCAAGGGCCGTTCCTCACGGTCTCTTCAAAAGTACGAATGTTATTGGGAAATTATCAATGGACATCGGCGTTTGTGGACTGATGGGCACAGCAGTCGGTGTCGCCGCTAAGCGCCTCACGCAAGACGCGTTGTACGGTGCTGGGATTGCTGTCATTGCTCTTCAGAGCCTCAGCTACTTGGGTTACATTCAGGTTAACTGGAAAAAAGTGGAGAGTGAGGTCACTCAGGCGCTGGATCATGACGGCAACGGCAAAATTGATGCAAAGGATTTTCATTTTTATCTGAACCGCTTCCTGAAGTTTGCTGGCAATGGAATTAGTGACTTGAGTGCATTTGCAGCAGGTTTTTTCTTTGGGAGCAGGTATCTGGCCTAGGTTGTGTGCGTTGCCCTTTGCTCTTTGTAGGAATAGGGGACCAGGCCTTATCCGGGGCGGTCATGTTCTGCTCGGCAGCGGGCAGTTTATATATGTATGTATTTGTTGTTGTTGTTTTTGTTTTATTTGTTTTTTTCGGATTCCTTGTTTCTCACTTGATGCCCCTAATGGACGGGAGTGGCTTTTTTTTTTTTTTTTTTTGTGTGTGTGGCGTGGCATTCGCATTACTTCCAGTGAACGGGTGTTGTCATGATCAAATTTCAGTGTGGAGAAGGCTGTGCTTTGTTGCATGTTACGCTGCAGGAGCAACAGCGGCCCACAGATTTCAAAATGAAAAAAAAGACAAATAGTCGCTGAAGCGAAGCCTTAATTGATTTACTTGTTTGCCCCTTTTTTGATTTCTTACGCGTGGCATAACTTTTTCTACTTGTTGTTGTTGTTTTAGATTGTGAATTTAGTTTCTGTCTGTCTGTCTGTGTGTGTGTGCTTTTGGCCGCAGGGGCCGTGTTTTGGACAAAAGATTGAGCCTGTCTGTGGGAACTCATGTTTGATGCACTGAGCGCGCTGGTGGAGACCGCGTCGGCGAAGGCGAAGCTGCTCACAGAAGAGGGGTATGAGCTGGTGAAGCAGACCGGCATGCTGGAGTTAGAGGAGGGATACGACGACACGACTCGCGGCATCACTGAAGTAAAATGTAAGACGGCCCCCGCGGCGGAGTGTGCCACTTCGAAGGAATCGGAGGGTCCATGCCCTGCCGTTACTCGTGTGACGAAAGATCTGTTTTTTCTGCCGCCGTCTCAGTGGGAATCGCCGGCAGAGGAATGGACGCTTCTGGCGGAATCAGCGCTCATGGAGGAGAACAGCTGCATCATTCCACCCGAGAGAATTTTGGGCGAGGAGTCGCTCGTGTCAAAGTTATGCGGTTTGTTGAATGTTGACTCCATTGAAAAACTACCGGAAATTCCGAAATTCAGCGAATGCAAACCGTCGCAAGAGTTGGTGGATTGGTTGACGTCGGAAACAGAGTGCATTGAGTTCCGATCTTTATTGGTGCCTCGCCATGTCTCGGATGAACAGTATTGGGTGAACACTTGCTGGCGCTTTTTTATCTATCGAATGTGCCGCAACGGAAGCCAGTTGCTAGACGTGATGGAAGTCGTTTCAATAGAGCCAAAGCCAGTCGACACGACCGGTGTGTTGCGTAAGAAGCGTATTGGCGTTCCAAACAACGCGACACATTGGAAAAAATTGCGGGAGACGCTGAACTGCAGGCGGGAGATGGCGGCATGGATCGAGGGGCAAATATCAACGGTGCAGCATGAAATTGAGTTGGCACTGAGTAACCTTCAGCTGCTTACCAACATCACCATGAAGCGGGAGACCACGGAACTTGGAGACTCCGTCTCAGAGAGCTGCAAATACCACAAGGCGAAACTTGATCGTCTCATGGGTGAGTTAAAGTTGCAGCGGGAAAAGCTAGGGGACAGTGTTTTGTGCCCCGATCATGGCTCACTCTTTGCGCAGCTTGCGAATGTTAACGACCAGCTACGCTTGAAGCTTGAGGTGTACGCGTCCCTCTCGAGCGGAAACCCCTCCGAATGTCGGGAAAACGTCTCTCATGGGGGACGTGAGGAGGCAACATTGAAAACCAGCCCAAGTGGAGGGGACCACGATGATACAACCGTGTTTGAAGCCGTACTTCCGTGGGAAAAGGAGTGAGAGGAAGGGTAGTGCAGCCCATATGAGTTAAAACCTCCTTCTTTTTCTCGTCTAGTTTTTTTTTTTTTTTTTTTGAATAGCTTCTTTCCTCTGGATGCGTACTTAACTTTTTTTGTTTTGTGTGTATGTTTGTGTTGGTGTTCTTTTTCTACTTGTGACGCAAAGGAGGGAAGGAGTAGGGCGTTTCAAAGCAATAAAAAGTGGGCTTGCAATTTGGTGGCGATGGAACGAGGGGGGAAGAGGGGAAAAATGAGGGGAAAATGCAATCAATGCGTGTAGTCTTCAAAGTGAAGGTGTGGAAGTGCCTCTTCAACGCACTGCAGTGCTTCCTCATGAGGCCGCCATTTTTTCCAACTGGACTGTGGAAGGTTCCCCCCCCCCCCTTTTCTTTATTGCCATTTTGGGTTGCGGTGCCTTCTGGAACTCAACAGCGCTCTTTTAAATGTTTTGTTTTGGCTGTTTAGTTGTTTTTTCTTCTCAATTTTTTGAGTTTAACTTCAGTTGTATCAAAGGATGGAAAAAGAGTGAAAGGGGGACAAAAGGAAAGTTTCTTTTTTTTTTTTTCTGTTGTTGTTTTCTCTTGGCCAGTAGACCCTTTTCCTTTTTTGTGTTTGTTCTCTTTTGGATGAGTGCGGCATTTCCGCTTCTTCGCGCCTTGGGAAAACCTGCACGGCTTACGGAGGTGCGAGTAGGTGCTGCTGAATTGGCACGCCAGGCGATATTTGGTTCATCCGAAACCAAACTGCTGTCGCAGCGTGTTGCGTGCGAAACGGCGGGATTTCGATGCGTGTACCACGTGGGCGAAGGTCTTGCTATACCCATGACATTTCTTGGCTCCTGCAAGGAGCACGGCGATCAGGTGGTGTTGGTTCATGTTCCGGGTCTTCCTGGTGCGTTTCCCGTCTCTATGGCGGAGTTGGGTCGTCACAAACACTTGTTTGGTTTCGAACCAGAGGGACCGTCCTCAACTACTGACGATCGTGAGCAGTTGGCTCTTCTCTGTGCGACGGAGGCGGTAGGGAGTGGTATCGGGGCAATGAAGGTGCTAGATTATTTGCTCTCAGTCTCTCGAAGACGGTTAGCATCCCTTCGAGGGACGGAGGTGCTGCTTAAAGTTGGTAGTCGTGTTAATGGTGAGGCCCTACAGCTCTCTTTTCCGTATCATTGCGGTAGCACACATGCCATAAAGCGTTACTACGACATCACACCTGAGGCATGTTCACTCTTCGGTCATCATATGAGGCACGGAACGAAGATGTTATGCCGCTACGGTGTAGCAGTGATGGTAGGCGTTGCGCATGATGAATCCCTTGGGTGTCCCGCCCCCTTTTGGAATCCGGTGGGTGGACCAGCTGCATGTTTGGCGCCAATGTTTAACGGGTGTCATGTGATTCCTGTTGGGGAAGTGAAATTGGAGTACAATGGGCCTTCTACGAGCTCTGCTCTTTTGACACCCGAAGATCCCGCGCGGTATCTAAATCCCACGGTTGACGGGACGTACGACGTTACCTCGTGGCTCAACGAGGGTCTTTTTGGCGTGAAGGTGGGACAGCGAGTAGAAGAAGATTGTGCTGTTTACGGTGTCTGTTACAATGCAGAGCGTTGTGAGTTTGAGTTGCACGTTCAAGAGTTACTAACGGGTGAAATTCGCCCATCCGTGTTGTGCTTTTTAACGTCGACATGAGAAATAAAAATTGAGGCGGCGTTCCCCTTTACGACGTATATATATATATATATTTCCCTTTGTGGTGTTGTTGCCTTCCCTCCCCGTGTGTAAAGTTTGGCGCCGCTGCCTCCTCATTTTTTTTTCTGGTGCGGTGCTTTTGTCTTCCTACCCTTTTCCTCGAAGTGTTGGCTTTTAGAAGAAATTATGGATGTCACCTCATCCACCGGCGTGAGGTGGACGTTCGGAATCGATTCTGACGTCCCGCCCCCGGAGCATCGCATCTCGGTGGGGTTTAGTCAAATAAAACGTGCTTTTTTCACGGATCTGATGGGTTCAATGGAAGGGAACGAGGATTGGTCGCAGGGCATCGCAGTCTCGCAAAGCCCGAGCGCGGAGAGGTCGTCAAAAAAGTTTTCCATCCCCTCGGATGATAGCGACGTGGATGGCACTATTCAGTCCAGTGAGTTGGACTCCGACACCGAGATTGTGAATGCAGAGGTGTCACCATTGCTGGAGGTCACAGCGGTGCCGCTGTTGCCGGCCTCACGTAGAAGGATTGTGAGGCAGTACAGTGTGGTGGCTCTAAGCGCGCTGGGAGGCGCCCTTCTTGTGGGCCTTTTGAAACGCGGCATCGGCTCCGTTATTCGCACTCTTGTGAGCGGTCTAGCTATGACACAGCTGCTTCACTTGATGGGCTACGCAGATGTCCGGTGGAAACGGCTACTAAGCGATTTGTGGAGTGTTTCTGAATACAAACCAACGAGCAGCCCATTCCGTGCGGCAATTGCCGTGATTGCCGGCTCTATTGAACGCAAAATTGCGTTTTTCTGTGGCATGGCTGCCGGTGTTTTTCTTTCCTAGAAAAATATAAAAATGCGTTTATTTTATTTATTTTGTATTTTCTCTAGTTGGTCCTCATTTTCTCTTGAGGAACCGCGTCTGGGGCTTCCTGCGTAACGGAGTGGATGAAGCGAAGGGTCAGTAAATGAAATGGGCGACCTTTATTTGCCCCCCTGGAGTAACGCGTGGGACGCTCTTATTGGCTGACCGGCATGAACTCCAAATGCAAAAGACTTTTCTCGGGTTTGTTGCTAACGGTGCGACTAATTTAATTTTTATTATTTTTTTTTTTTATTTTGTTTGGATCGTCTTTTTCCTGTGGAAAGGAAGCGACTGAAGAAACACACACACGCACACACCAAGAGAAGGGGAGAGAGTGGTGCGTAACACACAGGAACCTCTTCTTGATGCCAGTTGTATTCTATCGGAGCGTGAGCGATGGGTGGCGTGTCGGCGTTGCGGCGTCGCTTGACGGAGCGAATATAATCGTCCGCGACGGTCCAATGGAGGAAACGGTCTCCTCGCTGGACATTTTCAACCCGCAGGCGTCTGACACGGGGAGTGATGCACAGTTGTTACTTCACATGTCAGACCAACCTTCCGTTTTCTTGCATACGAAGAATGCAGCACTCATGTCGCCGACACCACTTGTTGGGTTGCCGCCTGTCATAGAGTTAATTCGCTACCGTGCCGCTAATGATGAGTTCTTAACGAGTGTTGGTGACAACTTCTTTGTCTTGTTGGGCGAGAGCAGTTTCACTGGCAGTAATCCCTCGGGACGTGACATCGCCCTCAAGGCAGCTCTTGCGTGGAAAAGCTCGCAGAAACACCAGGTGGTGGTATCATGTGGCCATGCGCTGCCCAGTATCTGTGGATATTTTTTGGATACGTGCTGTGCGCTGTTTGAAGTGACGCCAGCGCGGAGGAGTATGATTGCGGCGGGCATGAATGTCATTTCCGCCTTTACATCCACCATAGGACGGAAGCATCTGTGCTACCTGCAGGCACAGTTGTGCATTAAAGGAGCATCGCATCACCAGTTGCAGGATGTGCGCTTTGAGTGCAACCATCTGCTTGTTTCTGGCATTGGTGACACCAATGAATTCAATTTTAAGATATTTTCATACATTCTGTACGGACTCAGTGACGAAGAGAGAGAACGACTTTACATCAACCCGAAGCAGCGAAGCTTTGTCTGTCAGACAAGCATTCTAGACACTACCCTTGTGGCGCGACTGCAGGAAGAATACGTCAGCTTCACTCGAGCGACAGAAACCCTTGGCCTCTCCTCCTCCACGCTGCAGGCAATCTTCAGGCAGGTGGCGGCGGTTGTACATCTCACCGAAATGGAATTTTACGCGGATGGCACCTTGTCAAATCTCTCCGCCCTTAGGGGCCTTGCCCGTCTCTTGCAGTTGGACGTTGAGGAGTGTATAACTATTTTTTCTTCACGTGCAATTTGTGTAGCCGCCGCCCGGCTGATCTACCGAGGCGTTGTGGTGAAGCTGGTAAAGAAAGTAAATGCCGCCCTCCAATTCTCTGGGGGGTCGAAGCCTCTGCCGCCCTCCATCACGCTGGTCGCTGTGCCGCCCCCTCCCCCGGCAGAGTCCGATGACTTGGAGAACATTTTCCTCGCCACCATGTACGAGGAAATGACGCAAGCTTTTCTTTGTTCAAGTGATCATGAGGTGATGCTGTGGCAACGCGCCGGAGTTCGTGTCCCAGAGAAGCTACAGGCGATTTTTAATCCTTTGGATAATTATGGCTTGCTGAAGGTACTGTACGGTCTTGGTGGCGTTCTCTCCGTGGCTCGCACACTGCAGGGAGAGGAAAAGATGAGATTGGCGCTGACAAACTGCGCGAAGAGTGCTCATGTAAAGTTGAACGCCACCACACTAATGCTTACTATCGAACATTCATTTGGGGCGCGGCAGTATCAGTTTCCTCGCACTACAGACCAACTAACGAAGCTGAAGTCCGTATACCATGCGGAATTTACCGACGTGCGTACATTTCTTCTCGAAAACGCGGATGTGGAAACTCAGGAAACTCTGCACTTATTGGCACAGACCGAGAATGGTACCGCGGAACACGTCGTTGGGGAGGAAATGCTTCACGTGAAACCTTTGCTTGATGTTATGCGGGACGACAAGAACATGTTCTGGTGGATAGGGGGCGTTCAACTTGGCGCGGGATTTAATGGCGATTCTGTTGAGAAGCAGTTGCGGGAGACTCCTCTGCGCTGTGCTCTGGAGTTGCGAAGGCAAATGCCTCATCTCTACATTACATGTCAGGTTGGTTTTATCGCCTCTACTTTCAAGATGCTTTTGCCATCCGCGAACACACATGCCACTGAGAACTGCAAGGTCGCGGAAGCCATTCTTTGTGCAGCCGGTGCAACATATCACGTGACGCCGGAGGGATTTCTTGTGGCTGCTGGCTCACTTGTTGAGATGCATATGAAGGTGAAGGAGCATATCCATCGACATGTGACTCTCATCCAGGCGTTTGCACGAACACTTTTCTGCGGCAACAAGTTAAAGAAGCGTGCTGGAGCATGGGGGGATATCCTACAAAAAATTGACCTGCAGCGGAAGAAGGTCATCGGGGATGAAAAGTACCGGTTTCAAAATCGTCGATTGCACCATGTCCAATTGCTGGATCTCATGGAAGAAGAAAATACCGTTCGCTCGAGGATTAGCGAGGAGTGCTGGGGAAAATACATTTCTCTGCAGCACTCTTTTCAGGAGCAGATGGAAATTCTTTTGGTTCAAGTGGTTGCCTCATCTATCCATAAGGAAGAGAAGCATCTGCACTTAGCTATGCGGCATAATCACAAGGAAAAACTCCGTATGATTGAAGATTATATTAAGGAGCGTGTCACTAGACACCGAGCCCACTTGGATAGCGTTATTGAGGAACAACTAGGAGGCAAATGCCACCAGAAGTACACAGAAAAGCTTAACAGAGCTCATGAATGTCTTCTTCGTGAGCGGGAGAAAAGCGAATTGCGGCGAAAGCAGATGGAATCTGCCCTGGAACGCAAGCGGTCCAAGAGCGAAGCATCGCGCATGGCACGGGAACAGGAGGTCCAAGAGAAAAACAAGAAATTATTGCTTCGCCAGCACCAATCTCGGGCTGTCCGTGATAAAATTCAACAGGCACGTGATGACTTTAACGAAACTATCCAGGCACAAATGCTACTGCAGGAAATGGAGAGCAAAATCACGCGCCAGGTGAGGGAAGAAGTGATGTCCTTCCGCCGGCAGGAGACGGATCGGCTTACGCAACGACTATGTGAGGAGCGAAAAAGGAGGGAGGCAGCCGCCATTCAGGCCGCGAAGAAAAATGAGCGAAGATCCGTACAGCGTGAGCTTTGCGTACAGCGTACGAAAGAGTTGCAAGAAAGCCGAAGACGACATGTGATGCAGAAGCAACTGGACATGCAGCAGAGGCAGCAACGGGCGGCGGAGCGGTTAGAGAGGGCGAGAGAACAGCAAAGAAGGAAGGTCATGTGGGAAATCTTGGGGGCGGAGACATCTCTTCGGAAGTTGCCGCTCTACGAGCACCGTTCCGGAAAAACATATCTCCGCAGAAATAAGTCTGATGGCCAACTTAGCGAGCCGCTCGTGCTCTCAAGTGGGAAGAAGGCATACAAGCGGATTCTTTCCGAGTCATCGCTGCGCGGATTGCTCGAGTACCACACGACAAAACCGCGTGCCAACTCGCCGTACCCGTACGCCACACCCAAACGATAACCACCCGCAGCTTGTGGACAAATATTACATTATTACCACCACTTGGGTTTCCTCAGGTGTGTGAAATATCCCTGTATCGTGGATTATATCCTTTCTTTTCTTTTTTTTTTCTATTTGTTTTTAACGTCTTTTCTCTCTCTCTCTCTCTCTTTTTTTTTTTTTTTTCTCTTCCTCTCTTATGAATTATGCCTGCTCCCTTATCTCGCATAACCTCAATGTGTGATGGAGGGATTGAGGATGGCGGGCACTTCAACGAGGCTCCCTAACTGAAGGTTGCATGCGTCTTGCACTTGCGTCCACCCATTGGAACTTCCTTTTTTTTTTTCTTTTTGTTTTTGTTGTTGCTTTGGTTGATGCTGTTTTGACTGCAGCAGAAGAAATCTAAAAACGAGGTGACCCTCTCACGAAACCACACTAATGCCCAACCTGTGCGTGTCTGCGACCTTCAACCCTCCCGTCATCACCATGCTGGGATCCGCTCTGCGGGAGGAGACCGTCAAGCTTTTGGAGCAGCGCATTCCCACAGATGTTTCCACATCTTCAAGTCCTTCGAAGGATCCGGTTAAGTTTCTTTTCTACACCAACCCTGACCACTGGCGCATGGAGCTCAGCCAGCATTTCTGTGACGATCTGCACAAGTCAGCTGTGTTCCTTACGATTATTGAGGGTTTGGAAGGGGAGGGTTGGAACCTGCGTGCCTCCAACTCTGTTCGAGACTCGGAGTCGGGGAAAGACACAACCAAGCTGTTCTTTGCAAGAAGGGAATAGAAATCAAGTGGCGGTGTAGGGAACGGTTCCAATGTATTTATATTTTAATTTTTGATTTGCACCTACGTGCTTTTGATGTATGAAGGAAATATCTGGCTAAATTTTTTCATGGAATAAATAAGGGATGGGCGAAAATCCCAAATTGTGGAGTACTTCAAGAATGGCTCTTATTCCCTTGTAGTATATATATATATTGGTGTTGTTGGTTTCGAAACCTTTGCCACGAGAAGGAAAACCCACCACCTCAACAAAAACAATTAATAATAATAATAATAATAGTGACTTTCTTTCTTTTTCTTTCTTTTTTTTTTTATTATTTTCTGTGTATAGAAGCTTCATACGTGCCTTTTGAGGCTTGTCCTAGAGAAAAATTGGTGGCCATTTATGTGTGCTGCCTGGTGGTTATGTGGTTTTTGCCCATGTATGTGTGGGTGGGTGGGTGGGTGTGTTGTGTCCCTCGCGATACCCAATGCAACATGAATGGCGTAGGATCCATTATTTATGGTCCTGGCGCTTGTTTGGAAGGCTGGCAAGGGCCTGTCACTAATGCTGCCTACTCATTGCTCCATACGTGATGTGAATTAACGAGGTTTTACCTGGCGCTGATGTTTTGTAGAACACCGCGGAATAAAAATAAAAAAAAGCTTCACTTATGCGGAAGTGCAGCCGTACCGAGTCAACTGAAGCAATGGGCAGGGTTCTTTAAAATATATTTGGGTGCGTGTTTGTCTGTTTCGGCGGCGGCAACAATTTTTTTTTTCTTTTCTCTCCGGGGATGATAAATGCGGCGCTGGATACATGTCTATCTGCACGCAGTGGAAACGGAGAGGCGTTTCAAATGCGTATAGAAGGGAGTATGACTTGTTTTTTGTTTTTGTTTTTTTCCTCTTTTTTTCTGTATTTCCATGTGTGCTGTGCTGTGTTCCCGTTGCAAGACGCGCACTTTTTCCTACTTTTTGCCACTGAATGCAATTTTGGGGGGGGGGCAGCCGACAAAAAAAAAATAGGAAGTGGTGACTCATTCAACCAAACGGAGGAGTCGTAAAAAAAAAAAAAAGGGGGGGTGGGAGGGGGATTTGAAAAAATGGTGAAGGCAGCGACGGTGAAACGACCCTTTTGGTCGTATTTTGTGCCGTCAACGTACACGAGCCGCATTCACCGCTGGGCATACTATGCACCCACACTCATGTTTGGTGTCGCAACGGCCGCCATTCTCATGCGGCAGTCGTACTATCGCAGTTCTCTTGCGGATGAAGATGAGAATACATGTGACCGCGTTGATCGCCGCGCGTACGTTGCGCTACCAGACGGCCGCATGGCGCTTGTGTATCCCATCGTCGATACACAAGTTACCCCCACACGTGTCATCTTGTCGTTCCTGGATTCCATTAACCCCATGCCATGAGACACAGTAGTAGCGAAGAGCATTAGCGAAAGAAAAATGAGTGCATTTATTCAATGAGGAGAAAAAAAGTGACGCGGAGAGGAAGAAATAGAGAAGAGGGTGTGTATATATATATAATATGTAGGCGTTTTTTTTTTTTGTAGCAGCGAAAAGAAGACAGCTTTTAGCGCTACTGCGCCACTCGGGGCGGAGGGAGACCCACGCACACACATGCGGCACATGTATGCATTTATGTATGGTTGTGTCTGCGTGCAGACTTGTGGGCCCTGGAAGGAGGTTTTGTCAGTCCTTTTGTTTGTTTCTTTTTTATTCCGTACTCTTTTCTCTTGTGGAGCCCATTCTTCTTTTGTGTGTGTCGTGTAGTGCCCGTGATTTTCCAGCAAACACCAAATCGGCGTGCGAAGAAGGAAGGGAAACAGCGAAATAAGCAGGCGGAGCTCCCCGGGTTGGAGCGAATGGCGCAGTTTCCGCCCCCCTCGTTGATTGGGGAACTGTCAGCGGTGTCGGACCCTCTCCCGCAGTGCATCTCGCACGAAGCAACAGACGCGTATTTCGCCGCCATTGCTGGGCCTATCGTTAGTTTGCCGGTGGTTTCTGGTTTGTGCCGCGGCGGTGCAACAGAAAACGTACGAGCTTTTTTTTGGAAACTACTGTTAGGATTTCTCCCAACTGAAACTTCGCGTTGGGCGCCGCTGCTGGAGAGAAAAGCGTTGGAGTACCGCGAAATTGTCTCCATTGTGTGTCGTTTGGATGAGAAGGGGGATGTTGTCGTTGGGGAGCGCAGTTACCGTGCGGTGGATCTTGACATTCCCCGCACGATGCCTTCCATGCACTTTTTTAAGTCTGGGGAGCCCGCCCCGCCAGATAATGGTGTTTACGCTACTTTTTCGCCAACGCAACAAAGTCTGCGGCGCATCATTCACACCCTTGCCGGCGTCAACAAGGGACTTGGGTACGTGCAGGGGATGAATGAACTCGTGGGGCACTTGTTGTATGCCTTTGCCTCCGGACGCTCTGAGGTGGTAAACGAACAGGTAGAAAGTCAGGTTTTTTTCTGCTTTCAAACCATGCTTGCGTATCTTGGTGATGACTTTTGTCGTAGCCTGGATTATGATCAAGATACCGGAGTAAGCTGCACCATCCGTAACTTCGAACGGTTGCTTCAATTTCTAGAACCGGAGCTCTGGGAGCATTTAGGAAAGAAACAAATAAAGTCAGAGTTTTACGCGTTTCGTTGGCTGACATTGCTTTTTACGCAGGAGTTTAACGTGCCGGATGTATTCCGAGTTTGGGATTTTTTATTTTCCTTTGGGGAGGAGCTGCGCAGCGTCGTGCTTGTTGTTGCCGTCGCCATGCTAAATTGCCTACGCGATGAGCTGCTACGTCTCACGAGTCTCTCTGAGATACTCCCTTTGCTTCAGTCATACCCACCGTGTGACGTTAATGACTTTCTCAAAGTTGCCATGGGTTGGATCGATCGCTACGGCTTTCGCTTGGTAAAGGAGTTGAAGGTGGCGACATCTGAAGACGTACTGCGGCTGCAGCGTCGCTTTTGTATACCTGTTCCGGGCGATGCCTCGTGGAGTAGCAGCTTTCGTGGTTTGATGAGCTCCGTGAAGGAGTTCGCCAAACATATAAGGTGAGTACTGTGGCTCTATGCTGGCATCAATAAGCCTTTCCCTCCCTTTAGGTCTCTAGTCATTTTCCTCCGGGCCGAATTTCCACAGAGTAATCGGTCACGTTGAAAAAAATGTGCAAATGCCTGTTTTTCCAAATGAAAATTTTTTCTTTCCTGTGTTTTCATATGCACGTATTATTGTATGGTTCTACGTTTTTTTGTTTTTTTTTTTTTGTTGTTGTTGTTTTGTTTCTCTTGTATTCGCTAACTTGCAGTGCAGATAGAAATCCAACGTAGATCGCACAATACAGCCATAAGAGGAAAGGGGTCTTGCCGCCAAAGGCCAAATAAACCAAAGGAGAAAAAAAAGAAAAGACAAGAATTGAGTTGAGCGGTCCAGTCAAAAAAAAAAAAAAAAAACTTTTTTTTTTTGGCTGAAAGTACAAAAGAGGAACAGTGCGTTTAGAATACATTCGCAAAAGGTCAACAGACATATATATATATAGATAGACACAAAGTTGCATACATCATATATACACATAGGCGGGCGCGCAGGAGACGGCAAATGTCTTCTTTGAAGGGTGCACCAAGTCTGAATCCTCCCCCGAAAAAGGGATTCTCTTACAATGTCTTCGACGAAGAATTTGACGATTATGTCTCCCCTGTAGGTAGTGAAGACGAAAACCAGAAGAAGAAGAAGGAAACTGTGAAAAAGAAGGAGAAAGAACGAAAGAAAGCGAAAAGCAAAAGGGCCGAGCGCCGGGCTTTAGAAAGTGGTGGAGGTGGGGAGAAGGGAACAAGCGTGCGTCGTGGAGAGGGCGACCCGCAAAGCGTAACGAACTCCGCCGTTGACTACGATGTTGCGGATTATGACGCGGGAGCACAGTACTCGGATGACTTTGATGACGACGACATTGTTCCTGCACCCGCACCCCCGTCGTTTGATAACACGAGGGAGTTGCAGCGCACCATTAAGGAGGAGGAGGCACGGTTAGAGCGCATTGCGGAGGAAAAGATGCGAGAGATGCACGAGGAACAAGTGCGGCGGTGGCAGCAGGAACAGGAGTTGACAGCGAAGACGATTCAGAATCAGCAAGAAGAACTGCGTGCGCAGATAGAAGAGTTGAAGCGGTTGCAGGAGCAGAAAACAAAAGAAGCGGAACAGGAGTCAAAGTCTGTGGGAGCGCCAAGGGATCCCAACGATGACAGGGACGATGGTGCTAATGCTGTCATGGTGGAACGAAGACAGTTGACGGAAAATCAGCGCCGCCGAATTCGGGAAAGGGAGCGTGCGGTGCAGCTGCGGCGGTTGGAACAAGAGGAAGCTGCGAAAAGTTTGTTTCAACGTCTTGCGCAGGACGTTCGCGAAGTGTTTCATGAGTTAAACCTCTCTGTTGTGGCGTCAGAGAAGGAGCGGCTTATTAAAGACGAGCGGTACCGCAAGGAGCGCGAGGCCAAAGACCGCCGCGAGGAGTTGGAGCGGCAGGAACGCATGCAGAAGGAGGCCAAAGAACGTGAGGAGCGTGAGGCGAAATTTTGGAGCGCAATGGAGGACCGGGACGCCCGATTTCGCGAATTTGTGGAAAAGAAATCCCTGAAAGACGAGGAGGAGCGTGAGGCGCGGTGGAAGCGGGACCTCGAGGACCGCGAGGCGCGTCTAAAAGGCGACAAGGAGTTGCGCAGCGAGCTGGAAAGTATTGAAAGGGAGCGCCGTGACCGCGAGGACAAAAACGTGCGTGAGCGGGATCGCACGCTTATTCAGACTCTTTTGGATGATTTGAAGCGGCAATACGAAACACAGTTGGAGGAAACACGCCGTCAGTTTGAACTTGACCGCGCACATGCGGAGGAGATGCACCGCATGGAACTTGCAGCCATAGAGAAACGCCACGCGGAATCCGCAGGGCAGAGTGACAGAATTCACATGCGGCAAA